AACCCAAAAATTCTAATCCTAGGTATATACCCACCAGAAATTCAAGTACATATAAGCAAAAGATATGTATGATAATAGTCATATTATTTATAATAACCCAAACAGAAACAATCCAAACAATCAGTAAAATGAATAAGCTGTAGTATATTCAAACAAGGAAATAATATACAAAAATACAAATAAAAAACTATAGCTTTGTGCAACATGATGGCTATCACATAGTGTTGAGAAAATAAAGACTCCCTACAAAATATATATTGTTTGATTTACATCAAGTTAAAAATAGGTAAAACTAATCTATGATGTTAGAAGTTGAGAAAGTCATTAACTTTGTTGGAGGAAGGTACAGTGATAGGAATGGAGCATAATGTGGGGGTTGTGAAATGCTAGTTCTATTTCTTGACTTGGGTTCTGGTAACATCACTGTGTTCACTGTGTAGTAATTCATCAAATTGTACAAGCATGATTTGTCACCTTTTCTGTATGTATGCAATACTTCAATAGAAAAGGGGGGGGGGAAGAGCCAAGTACAATAGATAAAGTTGGTCTTCTATGAGGGCCACCCTAAAAGGCAAGGCAAATGGTTTTCTTGGTAATGTTCTTCAGGATTAAATGGCTTCAGAAGCTCTCTATTATAAAGAAATCTTCCCTATAAGGTATTTACAGATAGATAATGGATTATTTTTTCATAAAATCTAAGAAAGAGGTGAGACTTAAAAACAAACAAAATAAAACATCAAACGATGTACAGAAAGCTTTTTGAACCACTTTAAAGGTAATGTGGTTAGGGCTTCTCTCCATTTCACTTTCTAATAATTCTAGAAACCAATGAAACATTGCCAGTAGAACAATTTGACTCACCTAAGCAAAGCTGATACAGGCTTAGCAAGACCTGAGGAAAGCAGGCTTGTTACATACAGAGAAAATGTCTTTGTTTCCCATGATGATCTCCAAAGGCCCAAAATAAGATTTAACTCAACAAGTATTAAAGTACCTTAACTATAACTAGCATTGAGTCAGGTACTGTGAAAAAGACAAAAAAAAGAGGCAGATTTCTGAAGAGTTCTATATAAAGACATAAGAGTTATTAAACCAAAAACAACCATAACAACTAGAGAATGATCCCAAGACAGGATATGGTGGGTGGGTTGCAGGAGTAGAATTATTGAGGGAGAAAATGGGAGAGGTATAATGGAGTCAGTTGATCAAAAACCTTGAATGTCACACTAAAAACTCTAGAGTTAAACCTATAGGGAAAAAAAAAAAACCTATAGAAAGTTATTTTATCTGGATCCCATTCCACTAAAAAAATTCTTGAATTTAATGACTCCTAGTCATTTTCTTGATCAACCAGCCTTAATAAGTAATGTAAAATCTGTATACACTAATGTTCTATCTAGTTAAACCAAGAGATGTTTTGTGGAAAGATAAAGTTGATTTCTATGTCATCATCTCAAATAATTAGGAACATTTTCCAAATATCCCCAACAGTCCCAAATAAATCCTCATTAATCTACTCATATTTATTTTTCTAAACACTTCCTAAATCTTAGAGTTCCAGTTTAGATTATCTCTTAGGGCAATCATTTGAATGAGATACTACTTTACTTGCCTCTCCTCCATGTCTGGCTGACAGCAGGCCATTTATTGAGCTAAATTGTTAAATTATACCAATATATTAACCTTATTCATCTCTCTCATGGTTTTGTAGACTTTGATCATATCCCTCCCTCAACCTCTCTCTCTCTCCTGACTGGGGAAAAAAAAACAACTAGAAAATCCCTCTATCCTTTTGATCAATTTAATTGGGTTTCTAGGGACTTCTATCAGCTGTTAGGTTTTTCTTGAGAAGCAGCCACCAGAATTTCCTACATGATTATGGATGCAAATCCACTTTTGATCTTTTACGTGGAAAAGATAAGGGTTTTGTTTTGTCATTGTTTTCAACATCCTTCCTGCTGATGCCTACCATATTATTGGCTTTGAGGACCATAATCACAACTGGGCCAACTTCTTCACAGAATGATCAACAGTGATTTTTTATTTTTTTTACTGTAACAATCATATTGTGTACTGTCTGACTCAGAAGTTGGTGAGATGTACCTAGCTCTTTAGATTATCTTCAGTGAGTAGCCGGATAAATCTACAGGTACTCCTCAGCTACTCCAGCTGAAGGAGACAGTTATGATTCCAAAAGGTCTGAGGTGACCCTCTCACTTTTTATCATTTGCAGTGTCCCCACTGGGGAGGCTTTTCTAACAATTCCCCCAGAGAACTTTGCTGATCTTTCTGCTATGTATCCCGACTGCCCTAATTTCCTTCTGTATCTTGTTTTAAACGTTTTTAAATTGAGATACAAATGAACCTCTTCAGTGATCTCTAGATCCCTTTCTTGAGTCATAACTGAGCCCATCATCTCATAAACATGGGTAGGTTTGTATGACCTTATACAATGAAGTGCCTCTGTTTTGCCTACTTGGTCTCATGAGATCTTTCCGCAATTTAGTCTCATCAGTTTGTCTTTACTCCTTGCAAATAAACTGGTGAGAAACCTGAATGTTCTGCCCATTGAAGGGTGTAATATTTTTATCTTTCTTCCTCTCCATCTAAGAGTTGCTGTAAGAGCAGCTGTTTGTGTTGAAAAACTAAAATATAAAAATGTGACCTACGTGGCCAAATCCCACAAGGCTGTTTACTTCCTTGTTTATGAATCAGAATCTGTCAGCACAACTTAGAATCTTGACTGTCAGCAGATACTGCAATTAAATGTCCCTGCAAAGCCAGCAGAGGGTGCACCAGGGCACTAGAAATTTTACCCAAGATGTAGCAGTATCAATTTAACTCTAATAGCCAACTTTTCCCCTTTTGGGGGGTGGGGGGGAGTACTAAAACTAATATCCTCAAGAGAAAATAATTTGAATCTGGGCCAAAATTCCTTTGAAGTATATTTCAATTCTCCCGAAAGTAATGTTCAGGAAGAGTAAGGAATACATGTTAAACTTAGTCTGGCCAAAATACAGGTGGAGTAAAAGAAATTGATGCAAATCTGAGCCCTCTACATTGCAAGAATTGTACTATGGAGCTCCATCCCACTTTTCCCAAAAAGGTTCCGGTAGTTGTATGCTATTGGGGAACAAACGAACTTTCTTGAACTGGGAGTCAAAAGACCAACTTCCCTTCTACTGTTGACCATAGTTGTATGACCTTGGACAAATCATTCCCCCCTCCCTCAGGGCCTCTGTGCTATCCAAGGGGATCAAACAAAATGGACTCATACGGCCCCTCACAATTCTAAAAATCCCTGACTCCAACTGACGCCAACAATGTAAAGAGCCAGTATGCTTGTTGCTACTCCTCAAAAAGATTAAAACAGAAGGACAGAAAATAGGGAGCTGTATTTAAACCTAGACAGAACTATTCGAAGTGCTAAGCAAACAACAGGCGACTAAATGCCATTGTAGACCTGTGAGAGTCACACACCATCACAGACGCCCTAGAGTGCAGCTGTCCTGCTAATCCTCAGTATATAAACATAGGTCTGTCCATCCTAAATACCAAAAAGCTTTGGCTACCATTTAACTAAGGAAGTTCAATTACTTCATCTTTTCACAGAGTATCAATGTTCAGTGGCTAAGTATTTCTACTGGGCATTGTGGGGGCGGGGGTGGATAGATAAAGGGAGCCAGAATCCTAGTTAATTATCATTTAGCTACAGTGTTTAAAGTTCCAAGTATGAGAAGCATGTCTACTGATTCTCTTCTTTGATAAGCTGTTATATAAGTTGGAGTGTGCTAGCAAGACGTTTTTCGGCTCAGGGTAACTTTACGATGCACAATGTAGAATATATGTCAGTGCCAACATTACAGTTTCGTCGTGAATGAGAGGCCAGCTTTGGATAGGTGGTCAAAGAGCACAAACAATGTTTAGCTTATGACAATGACTCTGGATGTGGTAGTAAATATAGAAATCCTGGGCCCCTCATTTCAAGAAACTTATTTACACAACTTGCCCTCTTCCCCAAAAGGAACAAATTCACTATTATTCTCTAGCCACCTCAAAAGGATTCTTGGATGCTTGCTTCTCTTAAATTTCACATGACAAAATATGGCACTTAAGAGAACACTTATTTTAAGTGCACCAAATTTAGTTGAAGACAACTACCAAAGCTACCATAAAGATTGCAAAACAAAACTGCTCTTGAAAGATTACTCTTGAGTAATTATTCCATCAGTAGATTCCTGTTCTCAAACTAGCAGTAGTGAATAGACTTCACACTCACCCTACCTACCCCCCCCCAAAAAGAGTCAGAACCGGCATGCAAAGGGTGAGTTTTATTTCCATAGATTTTTTAAATTGCTGTTCAGAAGTTGTCTAGCAAGACGGCATATTTCTACCAGAATTCCACAGGGGCGCTGATCCTCACTAGAACACTGAGGACAACCAGTCTCAAATTGCAGGTAAGTGTGAACAAGCCCACGTTCTGGTCAGCGCACAAGGACCCGCGCTGAAAATACGATTAAAAATTGTTTCAACTGTGGAGCAGTTATTACAGCTGTTTACAGCTCCAACTCCAAAGGAGAGCCTGCTCGTGCTGGCATCAGCTCTGGACACGAAAAAACAAGCACCGCGGGCAGGGAATCTCACCAGGAGCAGAAGGGCCAAGCTGCTGCCGTTAGTCCGCCAGAGGGGCAGCACCCGCACCTCCGCCGCCGGGAGAGCCGCCAACTTTCCCCAAGGCAGCCGGTAGCTGGGGGGCGGCGGGCGCCGGCCAGAGTTCCCAAGTCCAGGGGTCTCGAGAGAGTCTGGGTGAGCTAGATCAGGACCCAGGACAACCTGCCCCGGGGCAACCTCTCCCCGGCTCGCCTGCCCCCTCCCTGGTCCGGCCCTGCAACTTGGCTGGAGGTGGCAGAGTCCTCCCCCGGGCCCTGTGGGGGAGGGCCCCCGCCCTGCCCACAAGGGGAGGGGGCCTCCGCCGCCGCCGCCCCTCCTAGGTGACTCACCTGGTGCCGGTCCTGGGAGTGTGGGGGGAGTGTGGTTTCTCCCGGTTCCAGCGGCGGCTGCTGAGGTGATGGCTGCCCGAAGTGGCGGGTGATGGGACCGTCAGGGTCGAGGCCACCGGGGCTGCTCAGGGTGCCAGAGGTGCCAGGGGTGCTGGGGCCAAGGCGGGACTCGGCTCCCCGTTCCCGCCGCAACTCGGAGCGCAACTCTAGGTAGCAGCACAACGTCAGCAGGTGGAGGGCCAGCGAGAGGCCAAAGAAACCCAGGAAGAGCCGGCAGCTGTTCCCTTCGCCCGCCCGGGCAGGGGCCCCGCGACAGCCGCAGCCCTGGCTCCCCCGCTCCCGCGGCGCTGCCGTGGGCAGAGGTTCCCTGCGCTCTACCTCGGGGTAGCCCATGGCCTCCGGAGACACCCACTCTCTGAGGCCCTGGAGCCGCCGCGTCTGCCTCAGCCGTTCAGGACCCCTGACAGGCGGCTACTGCCCTGCCATCGGCTGGGGGCTGCAGGGACCCGTTCCAGAGCAACGGAGGCTGGGCGGAACGGAGCAGGGAGCTGCCGCATGTGCAGCTCCACTCCGAGGGGTGGGAAAGGGAGGAGGAGGGGCGGGAGGGAGGGGCGGCTCGGCCCGCGGGGAGAATGAGGGAGGCGGCCCAGGCCGACCCCGCCCCATCCCCCAAGCGGCTGCCTGGACGCCCAACCACCGGCCCGCCAAGCCTTGGCGCCCCGCCCCCTGCCATTCCACCCTGGGCCTCCAGCCACAGGGCGGGGCCTTGGGGGCGTGTGGGTTCCCCCTCTGCCTGACTGCCCCACCCAGTTCTTCCCGCTTGCGCCTGTCCCAGTTGGTGACCGCCGCTGTCATTCATCCCTGGGCTCCGCCCCAATTTAACCCTATAGCGCCTGTACGGGGGCAGGAGAAGGCAAGGAGGGGGAGGCCGAGAAGAATTGGGGAACCTTGGGAAGAAAGTGGAGCAAAGAAAAGGAAACAGAAACTAGAATTAATAGAAATGTTTGCAATTAACTGCAGTTGTTAATAACATCATCCAGTACTTATCTGTTGCTTTCAATCTTCAAAGCGTTTAACAGACGTTAAACTAATTAAAACAGTTCTTGGTTTGGAATGAAACCATGCCTGCTGTGTTTGCAATCCTGTGGCGCGCCAAAAGAAAAAGGAGATCCAGGAGCCTGGGAGCCAAAGGGAGTGAGATTGGGGTGGGACCGAGGCAGCCCCACTCCTAGAGTGAATCTGGGGCCTCAATCTAAGTGGCCAAGAAGTGCACCTATGCCAGGTGGAACTGAAGTGACATTGCCCCACGCAGGTTCGAACAGTCCCCTGAAATTTCTTGATAGATTAATTAATTCAACAAATATGTGTGGGTCCCTTTACAACGCAGCAAGTGCTGTTTGAAATAATCCACAGCCTGTGGAGTTTCTCTTCTGCCTCAGCAACAGGAGTTTAGAGTGAAGAATATCTGCCTTCAATGAGCAAACGGGGAAATCGAGGGCCAGGTGGGGTGCGTTTTTACAAGGGTGGTCCACAGAATGGCCAGGCTACATTGGCATCTCTATTTGCAGGCAACTGTTCTGGCCTCTCAACCCCTCCCCTCCGCTCCCTGGAGTAGTCCCTGGGGGAAGTTCAACAAGTCAGCCAAATGTTCCAGATGAACACTGCTGCAACTGCAGCATCTTCAACAACTGAACCAATGAGAAAAGGGTTCAGAGCAAAAACCAAAAAAAAAAAAAAAAAAAAAGGCAAATGTCGGAACAATAGACCCTGAAATGAAGGATTGAAAGGATTAGTTGAGTTGCAATCGACAAGAGTTACTAGTCTGAGATTACAGAGAGCAGAATGACCGTAGCAGGGGAAATATGTATGCTTCTTGGTCACTATGTTCTCCTATTCCCATGTTATGAATAATTAGCAGTTTTATTGACTTGTCAAGGGTAGGCCTGAGACCTAGGCTGATGGGAAAGAAGAAAAATAGGGAGATCTAGAAAAGAAGACAAAAGCTGAGAAACAGGGGCGCCTGGGTGGCTCAGTCGTTAAGCGTCTGCCTTTGGCTCAGGTCATGATCCCAGGGTCCTGGGATCGAGCCCCGCATCGGGCTCCCTGCTCAGCGGGAAGCCTGCTTCTCCCTCTCCCACTCCCCCTGCTTGTGTTCCCTCTCTCGCTGTGTCTCTCTCTGTCAAATAAATAAATAAAATTTTTTTAAAAAAGCTGAGAAACAATTAAACAAAAGCAAAGCATACAGTGGAAAGGTCAGTCCAAAAAGCAGGTCATGAACCTTAACTATATTAGCCACAGCCAACTTTTCCTCCAGACACTTTGTGAATGATCTCAGTGCTTCACAAAGATCTATTTGTCCCCTCATTGGCCCTTTCCTTACCCATGAAGTATAAAGTTTGTGAAGAATATCATCATCATGCAGATAAGAAAATGTAAAAGAGCACTTACAAGTCAAGCTAATCTCAAGTCCTGCTTGTTCCGTCTAGGAATTCTAGGTGCTTAACCGACTTAGCCACCCAGGCACCCTAGGAATTCTAGGTGCTAGGGGAACTACAGAGCCAACTTATCTTCATTATCACAGCCTAGGATTTTTTTTTAAGATTTTATTTATTCACTTGAGACCAAAAGATACAGAGAGAGAGAAACATGAGCAGGGGGAGAGGCAGGGGGAGAGGCCAACGGAGAGGGAGAAGCAGACTCCCCGCGGAGCCAGGAGCTGTTACCCGAAGGCAAAAGCCTAACCATCTGAGCCACCCAGGCACCCCTCACAGACTAGGATTATTAGAAAGAATGCTAAACTAGGAGTCAGTAGACCTGACCTTGCCACTGGTTTGCTGGGTCACTCTGATTAAGTCACTGTGCCTTTTGGCCAGTGACTTTTTGGCCAGAAACATTAGTTTCTCCAACTGTAAAATGAGGAATTTGCACTTTAACAGCTATGACATTGTGTTTTATCTGTGTTATCACTGGCTATGTTGGTTTGGTTGTATACACAGTTCAAAGAGACTGCCCCTGGTTTCCTTAAAGCGAAAAGGAAACAAGTAACAGCCATTTCCTGGTAGTGGTGCTCGAGGGCCTTACTGGTCTCAGCTTACCCTCTTCTACCAGGCTTTTTTAACAGCCTGACTGAGACCCTGGGTTGCACCATTGCCCTCAGAAGACTTGCAAGTTGCATTTGACCTAGAACCTCTCTTTGGTTCCCCAGAGGAAGAACATATGTCTTCATATGCAATAGGTATGTTGAAATGGAGCAATCCAGTGAGGAATGTACATGGTTATTTTTTTTTAATTTTATCTGTTTATTTGAGAGAGAGAGACTCTCTCTGCAGGGAGTCTGCTTCTCTCTCTGCCCCTCACCTGCTCGTGCTCTCTCTCTCTCTCTCAACATAACATAATAAAAAAAATTTTTTTTAAATAAATAAAATGTAGATCCAGTTGAGATTTGAAAATTCATCATTAACACTTTTAGAAAGCATGTTAACTATTGATATTGATGATTTACAAATAACTATGAAAGTAGAGAATGAAAATAATTTTGAAATAAAAAAATAAAAGTGTTTTGAAGTGTTACTTCAGATAGCTTCTATGCTTCCTTAAATCTCCGATCCCCTACAGCATGGGTCTCAAAATGACAGCCTACAGGCTACATCCAGCAAACAGATGTGTTGTATTTGGTGCAGAGTTGGCTAAAACTTTGAGTTAAAAAAAATTAATTGCCAGCATTTAGAAATCAGGACATTTCACATTAAAAAAATCAGATTTCCTGCTTCTCTCCCTAAAAATAAATCAGAAAACCTGCTAACACTGGATCCATATTCCCATATGGCTACAGTCAGCTATAACTAACCCCTTAGAACAATCAAGTTCCACACAGTCATCCCTACGTCCTTCTTCTAGTCTCCATTACTGCCCTTATCACTCATTTACCTTACCTGTCTGGCCCCATGTATTCTAGGAGACAAAATATCAGCTCCTTATCATGACCCATAATCTGCCTTTCCAACCTCATCTCCCACTATCCTACAAGGAACCCATACTCCCACAAAATTAAATTCACTGACAATTCTCACACATCGGTGTCTTTGTACAAATAGGTTTCTTTGCTTGGAATGCTCCCACCTTGGACATCTGATAACTTCCTCAAGAATCGAATCACATATTCTCTCTGGTACAGACCCACAACTCACTCCAAACAGATTGTCCTTTATACTTTCACGGTACCCTGAGCATGTCAATGATATCACTAACCACATTGTATTTTTCTTTTTTCACATGCTTTCTCATCACTGAACTATGAGCTCCCTGATGGTAAGAACCACACCCTTTCCACTTTGGTAGTCCCAGTAACTAGCATAGCACCCACCACATAGTAGGCACCAGTATTGTTTGTCAAATTAACAGGGCATGAATTCTGCTATGATAACCTAGATTACCTAGAATTCCAAAAAAGGAAGTGGGCCAAGGGATGCCTGCCAGTACCACTTATGAAGCACCTACTGTGTAACACATTATGGAAAGATATAAAGGAAATTGAACCAAATGACAATTGTGTAATTATCCTCTTTTTTTGTAGTACTGTTGGAGTTGTGGACAACCTAGAAAAGTAAATAACCCATGAATTCAACTATAATTGGTTTGCAGTACTTCACTGGCTTTTTGTCCCTTCAAGTTTACCTTCCTAATTTTGTTTTGTTTGGGCCTAATAGTAAAATAATATAGCTGTCAATGCCTGAATAATAAACATTCAAAACAAGTTGACAACCTCTGGCAGAATATGATAAGGAGTTGGCCAAGGGCTGGTTTTAAATACCTCTTTGCTCTGGTTAATCCACAGAGGGGCACCTGGGTGGCTCAGTCGGTTAAGCGTCTGCCTTCCGTCTGCCTTCAGCTCTGGTCATGATCCCGGAGTCCTGGGATCCAGTCCAGCGTCAGGCTCCCTGCTCCACGGGAAGACTGCTTCTCCCTCTCCCACTCCCCCTGCTTGTGTTCCCTCTCTCACCATGTCTCTCAAATAAATAAATAAAATCTTTTTTAAAAAAATCTACAGAACAAATCATTGACATAGAAATCACAGAGCTGACTCTCTGACCCACCTGGTGATAAGCAGATACATAGCTGGGGGGGACATGGGCTTAGGATTTGGATCCTGGTTTAAATCTCAGTAGATTCATTTACCAGCTGTGTGACTTAGGACAGATAATTTTTGCCTGTCTTGCAGAGCCTCAGTTTTCTCATCTGTAAAATGGAGATGACAACATGTGTTTTGTGATATAGCTGTGCTTAAATGGGATGCTATATGTCAAAGTGTTTGGCACATAATAAACACGCGGTAAATGTTAGTCCCTGTTATATAAGAGACTTCCACCAAAAGGAGATGAGAGGAAAACTACATAACAGTACTCAAGAACATGTAAAAATGCAGAAAAGCATCCACATGCTTTGTCCTTGCCAAATGCCTGCCCCCTTCTTTTTGCATTCTTCAAGTTGAGATAGGACCCTTATGTTCCCATCACCCTCTCCTGAACTCTTGATTCATGTCTCATGTATCCCAACTTCCTCCTCTCCATTTTCACTT